CTTTTATCATCAAACAATATATAGGCATCATAACCACTTTCAACCAATGTTTTGTGTTGTACATATTTTCCATTAATTCGACCGTTATATATTATATGTATTCAAGTTTTCATGTGAATGACTATCACCCCTTTGTGATCACCTAATCTTTACTTAGAATTTTTTTTTTAAGTTGGACCATAATATTTTTATTATTCTCATCTATCTGGAATGATTGATTATTTGTGATGCGCTTGTTAATTAATTTAGTATCAATCATTCCTAAAATATTTTGTGACTGGGAGATGAACTTATTGAATAAAAATTTATTTGGTGTTGACCACATAACTCTAGAATGACGGTAACCCTGCAACATATATAGCTTAGTTTGGCCCTGCGGTAGCTTTTGCAGAAGCAGCTTCTGGCTGGAGCTTTTAGATAAGTACTTTTCAAAAAAAACAGTTGAGTGTTTGGTTGTAAAACTATTAGAAGTGCTTTTTAATATGAAAGATTGTGTAAAATGACTACAAATGACTTATAATATAAACTATGAATAAAAATTCTAAACAATAAAAAGTAAACAAAATGGATCTTGTTAGATTTCTTTTATATTAAATAATATGATTGTATAATTTATTTTATTTTATTTTTAAAATGATATAAATGAAGAAAAATTATATTTTCTGAAATAAAATTAAAATATGGTAAGAATAATCTTATATTTTCAAAACAGCTTTTCGCAGAAGCTCCAAATCGGAGCTTCTGCTTTTATGTTATACAAAAGCACTTTTCGGCTTTTCATAAGCCGAGTTTTTACAGGTGTTTGGCCCTGCTTCAACTTTTGAAGTCTAAAAGCACTTCTAAAAATTGGGCCAAACATAGGGATGTATCATCAGTATAAAACATAATGTTTAGATTTTTTAGAATTATACATAATCATCCAAGTAATATAAAACACAGAAGTCGGTTGATATGGCTGTGGGATACATATGATTATTGACTAAAGTGGATTTATAAATATATTGGGAGAGAGAGATTGCCCTATTTTATTAAGACATGATAACAATTACATATGAAGGTCTAATTATTGAAGTGTATGGTGTGGTGGGAGGGGAAGTGAATATTGGGAATAATCAAGGTTTAGTTTGGGCATACACATATACTACTAGCAGCTAGTCAACAAAAATAATTAAGAAGGCATGAATTGATGACTAACAAATTTTTTTATATTCTCCCTCCCCATCTATCATTCATTCCTGCATGTTCTCCTTCATTCATATTACTGACCGAAAATTCAATTAATTTGCCTTTCCCTTTGTTTATCATCAACATTTTTTGTCCTTATAAATACATACCAAATGAACCACTGATTCACTCACCACCCACATGCACTTGTTATTAGTTCCTTCCTTCCTAACTAAAACAACAATTAATATTCAATATTCCATCTGAACTATACCTCCACCTCCACTCCCTCATTCACTCTCTCTGATCTCTCTCTCTCTAGCCAGAATATGAACAAGATGAAGAATACTAACAATGCCAGCAGCAGCGGGACTAGCAGAAAGAACAAGAAGCAGCAGCAGCAGCAGGGTCAGCTGGAAACAGGTGAACCGGCTGCTGTGAGGTTTTTGGGAGTGAGGAGGCGACCGTGGGGCAGATATGCGGCGGAGATAAGAGACCCCACCACCAAAGAGAGGCACTGGCTGGGCACGTTCGATACCGCCGAGGAAGCCGCTTTGGCCTATGACAGAGCCGCACGTTCCATGCGCGGCCCACGCGCTCGCACCAACTTTGTCTACTCCGACACCCCCGCCGGCTGCTCCGTCACCTCTATCCTCTCCCCCGACTTCTCATCATCCACCTTCATTAACAACAACGACGACAGCAGGATTGTATCCTCGTGTCTTGAACCTTGCGGCCAGCAGCAACAGATGATGTTCAACATGCAGCAGGGGAGCGAATGCTACTACCAAAATAGTAATATTACCAATATTAATTCTGCAGCTAGCATTGACGACGGCCATGGCGGGCTGCCTCCTTTGCCGAGATGTGAGGTGGAGAACTTGTCCATTAATGCAGCAAGTTTTGACGACGTGATGATGGATACTATGGTTGATTTTACGGCCATGAATGGCGAGGGCAACAACAACAATATTAACAACATTGGTGGTGGTGGGTACAATAGTTTCGGCTACGAGGAGGATTGCGTAATGCACAGCCCGTTATTCAGCATGATGCCTCCGCTCCCCGATTCCAACAACATGAATATCACTTACAACTATTTCTTCTCAAACTATAACTAACTGTCTATCAATAATTGAGGCCGCCACCTGCTCCCTAGTGCCTGTGTTCCTAAACCCTATATGCAAGTTCCCTGTTTTTCTTTTTTCTATCTCCTTTACCGGCGTGGTTTGAGGCATGTGGCCGCCCCTCCTTGCATCCACAAGCACGCGATCTTCATCACTCAACTGATTTCTCTCCTTTTTTTTTGTTTTTTTGTTTTTTAAGCCTTTCTCATCCTCTGATTTCATTCATGATCATCACTTGAATATTGGGGATACTTTCGATCCCTTTTCTTCATGTACCTGGATGTAAATTAAGAGAGATGAATGAAAATACTCTATTCTGCCTCGCCCAAAACCGTCCAGTCCAGTACAATCCATCCAAAGTATATATGAATGATTCTGTCCTATACGGGTAAAAGTTGGAGTATATAAATCTTCAATTGGGCGGAGTTTACGATAGGGCTGGCTATTTGGTCCGGACTGTTTGGTTTTACCCGAAATTGGACCGTATAATCCGGATCGGGATCGGACTGGGACCGGATAGCAAACAATCCAATCTCATATTCGGTCTTAGATTTGAGGTAAAAAACCCGGATAAGAGACCCCCAACACCTAAAATCAATATCAAATTGGGACCGGACCGGGTCAAGACCGGACCGGATCAAGACCGGATTGTATCCAATCCAATCTTTGGTCCTTATATTCCCGAAAAAACCGGACTGGGACCGGATCAATTTGGTCCAATTTAACCGGAACGGACCGTATAGCCACCCCTAGTTTACGAAATTGTAGATTAAAATTTAGTCCTTTTTTATAAATTTCGTACATTTAATTGATTTATTCCTAGTGATATATCACAATCTAGACCATGAATTAAATCGAGTTTGGGATATGATATTATAGCCTAACCTCTAATGCATAAACCCCAAGATCTAGATTCGCTAAACCGAAATTGGAAGTTAAATTTAATAGAAAATTATAATTGACCATTGAGATTGGCCGGAGCTCATCGAATTACATCTAACGGCTAGATCACCTGGTGTATACCAATCATTACCACATATATAGTACCTTCTACGTTACCCCGGGTGAAATCCGGGGTACCACATACTTTGAGTATGAAAATACAATCTAGACCTCGAATTAGCAGGATTTTTGGGCATGATACTATACCCTAACCCTTAATGAGTGAACCCTAAGTCCTAATTATCTAAATCATAAACTATAAACCCTAAGATGGTGCATTGATTTTTTTTGCCTATATTTGGACGAATCATAACCGTTGATTATTGTTTCTAATTAATTGATTTTGGGTATAAGATTTAGAGAATTAATACCTAGATTTTGATCTTTAAGGTTTAGAGTATAGTGTCATGTCCGAAAGATTAGTCATTCCAAGTTCTGGATAGCATTTTCCTACTCAAGATATGCGGTACACCGGATTTCACTCTTAAGCTCGGCGATGGCTAATTTGAAACCCGCCTGTTTTACCCCATTTTCTTAATTTAAAATTTTTCTTTTAAATTCCATGTCAATAGCCATATCATTGCATATTTATTTTCTATTAACCGAAAAAATTAACGGTTGGTATACAATTGTAATATCAAAAGTTTCGTAATACACATGGAAAAGTCACTAAAGGTTGGTATTTTTAGTGGTATTAGACCTTTTGTTTATTTAAAGTTCAAAATATAAAGGGTAATGTCTATTTTTTATCCAATCTTTTTCCAGATTCTTTTATATTATCCAAACCTATTAAAATGCTATTAATTAGCCAAATTTTTCATAGTGCATTAAAATATTTCCATTTTTACGTTATCGTTAATGATTTTGTAGCTCTTTTCTTAGTTAAAATACTAAATTTTTGAAATGTTAACCTTCAAGTGTCTCTTCCAAGTCAGTATCATGTTGCCAAGTCAAATTTTTTTCTCAAAAGTTTAGTAAAAACGAAGGTTGTGTAGACTGTAGAGTGGTACCAAGTTGGCAACAAGTGGTAATGGGTGGTACGTAAATCTTTTTCCTCAAAATATATTAAAAGTGAATATAATTTTGTAGATCACAACAAAACGATTCCATCTTTTAAAAAAAAATCCATTTAAAACAAATAAGAGACAATATGATTAAAAAAGTCAGGAAAATTAAAAATCTTTTAATCTCACCCATTAAATCTGGCCACTCTTAAAATAAAGGGTTAATATCTTATTCTTACCCGAAATTTACCTATGTAATCAGGCTCGTGGTTTCAAATTGCTATCCTAGCCTCAACTATCCATCATATAGACTCAATTGCCTGGACGTGTGGTTTGACCGTCAATTTGGACGGTTAATGGTCAACGATCCAGCTCATGTCATGTCAGCACCAAAGTAATAAAATTTAAATTACTAAAAAAAAGCATACTAAAAATTCATATTAAAATTACAAACTAAAAAAAAATTGTTTTTGGTCAATAGTTAACCAATAAATTTGGTACATAAAATTTATTTTTAGACGAAAAAATATCATTGGAAAGTTATATTTTGATACCTATCAATGAATCAATCCACCAATCCACTTGATACAATTCATGAATCCACCAACCTATAACCTATTTAATCCAATTCACTTATTAATCCATAAATACTTCAATCCAATCCACCGATTCATTTAGAATACTAAACATAATTGACGTTGCTGTCGGTTTAGGGTTATCCAATTTGTGGGTGTAGTTAACCGGTGCGGGCAGTTATAATTCCACGGTTCCACCCATACTGGTGTGCTCTGTTCTGTCCGTCAAATCCAACAAACGAAATAAAGAAATGTAGGGGACAGGTACAGCCCGGAAGGCAAGGACGGAAGGCGGAAGGCAAGGAAGGAAGGATGATTTCCTCCTCGTTCACAGCGGGAGGAGTTGGTGTTGGACTACGAACACATGATTCTCCCCCCGTTACATATATCAAACCCCTCCTGACTCCGCCAATATTGGATCATCGCTGTAACAATAATAAAAAATCCAAATTCAGATCGACGAGGAGAGCAGTCAAAGCCCCCCAAACCCAGGCCTTCCTCCTCTTTCCTCATCCTTTCTCTCAATCAGAACACACAGCTGCTGCTTCCTCTTCTTCAGTTCTTCCGATGGCCAATTGCAGCCTCAACACGACCACTAATCACCTCCGGCATGTTGAGTCAATGGCAGTCCTGCCGTCCGGCGCAGGTAAGATTCCTCGTCTCAACGCCGTCATTTTGGGTGAAGCTCTTGCTTCCGAAGAGGACGATCTTGTCTTCCCCAGCGATGACTTCGCCCGCCAGGCGTTGCTTCCCTCCGCGCAAAAGGTTTCACTCTTCATTTTTCCTCTTTCCATCATTCACCCTCTATTCTAATCACTCCGTTGACTTAAAGCTTCCTTTCGTCTTTGTTCAGTACTTGGAAATGTATAAAAGGTCCGTGGAAGATCCTGCTGGATTTTGGTCTGATATTGCTTCCCAGTTCCTCTGGAAAAGCAAGTGGGGAGATACTGTTTGCTCGGAGAACTTCGACATACGCAACGGCAATGTCTACGTGCAGGTTACCTTTCAGTTCTCCATATTATCATTCATCTATCCACATCACCCCCTTTCGAACGTGTTTGGAATACCTGACCGCGAAATTTTATGATACGAGAAATCATTTAAATTTCGTACTAGTTCACAAATTTTCGTGCAGTGGTTTAAAGGTGGGATCACCAACATTTGCTACAACTGCCTGGATAGAAATGTAGATTCTGGAAACGGTGATAAGATTGCTTTTCACTGGGAAGGCAATGAGCGGGGTTTCCATGACTCTCTAACCTACACCCAACTTCTTAGCCAAGTTTGCCAGGTCTTTCTTACTTTCTCCTTCCTCTAGTCCTAGGGCTTGGATTATCAATATAAGCTAAAGCTGGAGTTGGATTTCAGATGTCTTTTCTTTTTTGTGCTCTCCAAATTCACATGTTCAGCTTGAACCTTCTCTTTTGTAGGTTGCCAACTACTTGAGAGATATAGGTGTTAAAAAGGGTGATGCAGTAGTAATTTACCTACCAATGCTTATGGAACTTCCTATTGCTATGCTTGCATGCGCTCGCATCGGAGCTGTTCACTCGGTAGTGCTGCCCCAGTTTTTCCCTTTCACCTTAGATTCAGTTCTCCCAGCTGATGTCTCTTACCCTTAATGTACATTAGGTCGTATTTGCAGGGTTCTCTGCAGATTCTCTTGCTCAGAGGATCATGGACTGCAAACCGAAAGTTGTTTTAACCTGCAATGCGGTCAAGAGAGGTTCCAAGGTCATCCATCTCAAAGACATAGTTGATGCTGCACTTAGTGAATCTGCTAAAAATGGCATCTCAGTTGGTATGTCACGTCTATCACAATGATCTAGAGTAGAGTACATGACAATAAGAATTTTCTTTTACTTCCTTCAGTGGAAAATTGTTTCTCTCATTTTCATTCTCAACTTGCATATCTGATTGCCAGTTCTAATCCGAAATCTTGTTTCCTAATATGAGTGGTTTATGACAAACCTGCTATGAATAAGGCAAAGTAGAGTAAAGTTCGACTCTGGTGGGGCGTTGTTGGGTCAATATGCTGTTTGAGAAGCCTTATATATATGGAAAAAGAATGGCTCATGATTCCAATTTTCCGAACTTAAAGTTTGGTTCCATTACTGAGTTTTCTCTCTTTCTTTTTCATTGTGAAGATGCTTGCTTAACTTATGAAAATCGGTCTGCCATGATGAGGGAAACCACAAAATGGCAGGATGGGAGAGACATATGGTGGCAAGTAAGTAGATGACATCTTCTCCAGCATATTAGTTTCCACTCCAAAGGCATACAAGAGACCATACGTGCTATGTGAAAATGCAGATAGCTTGTTTTCTTAAACATGTTTCACATGGATCTCCTCGATATCATGCATAATTTTATTGTCTCCTATTAGGCCATAGGGTTGGGCAGTCTGCGTACGTCATATTGCTTATTCATTCGGTATTTTGACAACAAAAAAACACTCGTCTCTAAGTATGTCGTTCCAACATGCTCAATCATATGTAAAACATATTAGCTTCCACCCCCAAAGGCATACAAGAGACCATAAGTGCTATGTGAAAATGCAGATAGCTTGTTTTCTTAAATATGTTTTACATGTCTCCATGATATCATGTATAATTTTATTGTCTTCTATTTGGCCATAGTATGGTTGGGCAGTCTGCTGTACTTCATATTGCTTATTCATTCGGAATTTTGACACACAAAAAAACCCCCCTTGTCTCTAAGGATGTCGTTCCAACATACTCAACCATTTGTGAGGTGGAATGGGTTGATGCTGAAGATCCCCTTTTCCTGCTGTACACTAGTGGTAGCACTGGTAAACCAAAGGTATCTAAACTCCGTATTTAATTTTAAGCTAATGGAGTTGTTTCTTTCTTTCTTTGCCAATTTTCTAACTAGGAGCTGTCCTCAGGGTGTTCTCCATACAACTGGAGGATATATGGTTTACACTGCTACGACTTTCAAGTATGCGTTTGATTATAAACCTTCTGACATCTACTGGTAATCACAGCTTCTGCAACCTTCTTGGAGCTTCTTTGCCCTTTCCAAAGTTATCATGGCTTCCATACAATACGAGGTGGAAATATTAGTCAGGGCTTTCTCTTAATGATAGGTGCACAGCTGATTGTGGATGGATCACTGGCCACAGCTATGTGACTTATGGACCTTTGCTCAATGGCGCTACAGTTGTCATTTATGAAGGGGTAATTCTGGAATTTGTTTGTCCGATTACTTTTTAAGACAAAACTAATCATAGACTACTTACGTAGCTTCAGTCTTCTTAGTCATTGCCTTCCTCTGTAGCATGATTACTTGCCAGATGTGTTATCTGTGGTGATTATTTCATTTGTGTTAAGTTCTGTTCAATGGACCTGGATCTGTGGTAGCATAAGTACTTTTGCCTGCAGGCACCAAATTATCCTGATCCAGGTCGCTGCTGGGATATTGTTGACAAATTCAAAGTGACAATATTCTACACTGCCCCCACATTGGTACGGTCCCTCATGCGTGATGGCGATGCGGTAAGACACTGTTGTAGGGTACATGTAGAGGCATCTTAACTTCTAATGTCGTCCGGAATATGATTACAGTTTCAGCTCCTTTTCTCTAAGTAGGGTTATTAATGCATTTGGAGTCTGAGAGTATAAACGAACTGCATGTTACTTAACTGATTATGAACCAACATATCTCATGTACTATAAACAATTAAACATTCATTAAAAACTTCTGTTGGTTATCTTTTATAATTATGATCTTCAAGGATCGGTACTGCCCAGGGTTGAAGAAGCTAGTACCATCAGAGCAAACATCATTGAATAGCAAATTGATGCAAACTATTATGTGTATGCAGTATGTGACTCGCTATTCCCGCAAGTCCTTACGAGTGCTTGGCAGTGTAGGCGAGCCTATCAATCCAAGTGCATGGAGGTTTTTTCTTTTCTGGAAGCACGATCACCTCTCTCTCTCTCTCTCTCTCTCTCTCTCTCAATACATTGTTTGGTGCAGGTGGTTTTTTAATGTAGTAGGAGATTCGAAGTGCCCGATATCCGACACTTGGTGGCAGACTGAAACCGGTGGCTTCATGGTACTATAGATGAATTTATTCAACACTTTATATTTCTGTGGTTCTTTTCTTGTTACAGTTCATTCACATTATATTGCATACCTGTCAGATTGCTCCTTTACCGGGTGCCTGGCCTCAGAAGCCTGGTTCTGCTACTTTCCCTTTCTTTGGTGTTCAGGTACTTTGATTCTATCAGAGCTCTCTTAATTCTGTTTCCTGATTTGGTTGATTGTTGATTGGCTAACTCTCATTCGTTCATCTTTGGCTGGTGCACCTTCAGCCTGTAATAGTGGATGAAAAGGGTATTGAGATAGAAGGAGAGTGTAGTGGGTATCTCTGCGTGAAAAGCTCATGGCCAGGGACGTTTCGAACTCTTTACGGGGATCATGAAAGATACGAAACCACGTACTTCAAGCCATTCCCTGGTTATTATTTTAGCGGTGATGGCTGCAGCAGGTATGGGTTATAACATCAAATTGTAATTCTCTCATCTTCATTTATTATCTTAATGTCACCCATGAATGGAAAGCTCTGGTTCCCCAGCATTTGGCTGGGGAACTAGGGCTGAATGATTGACAATTAGGTCTTGTGCGCCAGGGACAAAGATGGGTACTACTGGCTTACTGGAAGAGTTGATGATGTCATCAATGTCAGGTGAGATCAAATATTCGAATGTCAAAAGCCTTTTCCCATCTTGTCTATTCTTATTTGATATCTCAAATTAAGGTTCCTATAAAATACTGGTGAGAAAAATGAACAAGAAAAGGCCCAAAATGAAAAAAAAGAAGATTCTGGATGAACGAAATGTTCTGACTTTCGAGGTTATGTCTGTTTGGGCTACTGCACTTTTTCCTCTTTAATAGGCGATGTTAAGAGATAAATCTTACTAAGACGGACATGGAGAACAGGTATCCACATTTAGTACCCTGCCAGACCAGCCATCCAGAAAATTACAGCATTTTGGCACTCTCTTTAGCAAGAAGCAGAACAAAAATCTAGATTAGAAATGCAAAGGACACCATCAAATCACTTTCTTATGCTTTCCTATTCTTCCCTTTCGAGTGCTGCTTTCTTGTTTTGCAGTGGGCATCGGATAGGGACAGCGGAAGTGGAATCTGCTCTTGTATCTCATCCCCAATGCGCGGAAGCTGCAGTGGTTGGTGTTGAGCATGAGGCATGTCTCATAAATCCAGCTTAGAATTAAAAAAGAGGTCCTGATGGTATCTTATACTCCAAGGCAGTGAATCTGACAATTGACAAACCCTTCTGTTCATTGGCTAGCAGGTTAAGGGGCAGGGTATATATGCCTTTGTAACCCTTGTGGATGGCATTCCTTACAGTGAAGAACTCCGACGAAACCTTATAACTACTGTGCGGAATCAGGTCATACTCAAAACCAACAAACTCTTGAGTGATTTTATTGCAGGTTAAATAGAAGAAAACATTTACTTTTGTTACTTAGATTCATCTTCTCCTGCATGAAAGTTGAGCATTTCCATTCGTATTGCATACTGTATAGATAACCTAAAACCTGTAACAAAGACTAAAAGTGCAAACTTGATGAAAGAGCAAGAGGTTTCTCAAATTTGCTGAAGATAAAACTTTTAAGAATGCATCCTCAACTATATAGTTAGGTTTTATTTATTTGGAGCTTTGCCCTCGGGGCCTGTTATGTTTGAATATAGCCTGAAGTGGTGGATATGTTTCTCCCTTCCAGATAGGACCCTTTGCCGCACCAGATAGGATACACTGGGCTCCTGGCCTCCCGAAGACAAGAAGTGGTAAGATTATGAGGAGGATTCTGAGGAAAATTGCGTCCAGGCAATTGGATGAGCTTGGAGACACGAGTACTCTGGCCGATCCAGGAGTAGTTGATCAGCTCATAGCACTTGCTGATTGCTGATGTGCAAAACACAAAGAACCCGCTTTGAGTTAGTTGAGGGATTGATAATCTTGTAGTTGTGAGTGGTTTATTGTCGAGCCTGGGCACGGCTCTTTTGGATCAGTGACACCAGTGATGTAGAGTTCGGTCTCACACCCCAAGTTTGTGTTGGCTTAGTTGGGGATGATCTACATCACTTCAACGTTCAAACTCCATGTTGCCAAAACTGTTAAAACATCGACCGGCCACCTTGATTTCTTCTTGGCAGCTGAATGTTTCCCAGTAACAACAATGATGGTGGTGACACTTACAGGAAGATACATACGGGGATAGCTTGTACAATTTTCTTTACGTTTATGGCAAGGAGAATCTACTTGTGACAGGTCTGAGAGAATGAGACAAAAAACGATTGCTTGGTGTCTTGCTCGGTTTGTCAGAAATTCTATCGCACCCAAACCAAACCAATGTCCAGCTAACATGATTCTGATGCGAAGCAAAGCTTCTGGCACTTGAAACAATCTACAGATACCCCAATACATAACACTTCCTTTAGAGAATGCACTGAAGGGACAGATGCAGCTACAATCAGAGGCCTACCTCGGAGGCTCGGACAGCAAAATATTGTAGGCTCATCGTAATTATTATGAGTTTAAAAACAGTGCAAAAGGAACAAAAACCGCGTTTACTGTTCCGAGCTTTCTGATTAAACTTATATCCACTGGTTGACATATTGCATATCGGTCTGAGCTCCTATCCTAGCTATCTACCTCTATATCTGATCAACCAAGTTCGCCCAGGAAATGCATCACTTAATCGGAATCTGCTGCCCGCCAAAATGATCTTCTCCTCCAACTCTGAAGAACATTAAACTGTTACATTTCTTCCCTTGAGACTCAAACTTAAGTGTTTCAGGAATGTACGTCTAAAAGAGGATTCGTTCACCGACATGTACAATCCTTACAGCAAGCTTACAGAGGTATGACATCTGGAAGTTCATATACCATTAGCAACACGCCCCCACAAGCAGAGCAGAGAGAACATAACACACATGCAGAACAAGCTTATAAATCATAAGCAATCAAGTAAAGGAGAAGTAGAAACTAACTCAAAGTTGTTGCAGCGCATGAAGTTAGTATTAAGAACAAGTACACGCCAAACAAGTTTCACCTCTTCACTCCACCTCACACCACATAAAGGAAAAAGAAATTGTAGCTACCCTATCCAGGAGGTTAAAATTGAAATTACATGGGGGCACTCACCAGCAAGTGTAGTGTAGACATGCGTGCATACACCATTGTGAATTGTGGGGAGTTGGCAAAGACGAAAAGAGTTTACTTATGAATAGGTAAGTAGGCCGGATCAGGTCAGACCCTGAGAATCTGGAGCTTGGTAGAGAAGGCAATAGCAACCCAATCAGGCTGGGAAGAGGACCACTGCAGCTGCTCAATTTCGGCGCCCGCTGTATAAGCAAGAATGGGATCGAGTCCGCCCTCAACAGGCTGGCCCATGGAGGAGAGATCCCAAATCAAGGCCTGGGAATCGTCTCCAGCGGTGCAAATGTGGCAAGAGCTATGAGGTGCCCAGGCGATAGCGTTGACGCTGGCATGGTGCCGCTGCAACTCAACCACGGGTAGGGTAGGGAAGCGGATGTCGAGGACGACAACCTTGGCACTGTCCATGATGATGGTGGCCATGTACCTGGGGTCCTGTTTGTTCCATCCCAGGCGGACCAAGGGGGTATCAGGCTCAGAGCTCTCGTAGATAATGGTGGAGTGCTCCTTGTCCCGCAAATCGAAGACCCTAACGGAGCCATCCGCGGAGACGGAGGCGAAGACGCCGACGCCGCCCCAGGCGATGTCGTAGACCTCCTTATCGTGGGCGATGAGCTGGGTGTCGACTGTTTCGCGCTCTATGTCCCAGATGGTGCAGGTGGTGTCGATGCTGGAGGTGCCAATTCGCTTGGGCTCGGCCTCGTTCCAGTCAAAGGAGGTGAGAGGGCCGCAATACTCGCTGTTCTTGTTGCCGTTGAGGAGGCTCTTGAGCTCCACCCGGTCGTCGGAGATTCGCCAGACGCGGAGGAAGTCGCTGGAGGTGGCCAGGAGGTCCGGCTTCTGGCAGTCCTTGTCAGGGATGAACATGGTCTTCGTCGGAGGGAAAGGGTGCTCGAAGGAGAGGTTTTGGTCGCAGCGGATCTCGCCGTTGGAATCGTCGAGCTGAACAATCTCAACGCGGTTCTGGTACTGCTCCATGAGGCTGGCTATGGCGAGCCGGTACTTCTTGTCGCGGCGGACGCTCCAGTTCATTGCGTAGATGTGCCAGGGAGCGTCATAGGTGTAGATCTCGGATCGCTTCTGCTGCTCATCGGAGCCGCCGTCTTGATTAGGGTCGCTGCTTGCTCCCATTCCAATTCAATTCCGCCTGACCTACAACAAACAAATCCGGATTGCTTGCCTTGCTTGCCGCTATTTGTTGACTAGGGATTTGGCTGGGACTGGGAGCTTCTGTTTCGATGACGGGATACTTAACCTCACCCCAGCGATATCTTTCTAGATAGTAATTCCTCTTTATTTATTTTTGGACTATTTTCCTCCCCGGTTTTATCATCCTCTTCCCCTTCTCTTACTTTCCGGCCGGCCCCTGTCGTATGAAATTAGATTTCTCTTTCGATCGCCGCCAAGCAGGCAGACAACATTCAATCGCCGCCCCGCTCTGCTCTGCTTGGTAGCTATCAAAAATTGAGCGCACTGCCCAGTGGTAGACGGCAGACACATGAATTTTTTTTTTATGAATGCAGACACATGAATTTTGTTGTTATCTTCTAAAATTAAATTAGATATTATTAGTAAAAATTACAATAAAATGGGATTAATTCCTATGCATAACCTTACCATTAACCATTCATAATCCAATAACCATCATTCATAAAACTCCCTTCACTCTCATACAAAACCTTTAGAGGTCGTTTGGATGCCGAATTTTATTGAGAGATTTATTAGGGATTTTAAAACAATCTCTCATTATGCAGGATTTTAAAACAATTTTGCGTTTGGGAAAAATGAAGGATTTTATAATTAGTGATTTTAAAAACTCGGGTTTTTAAAGCTGGATTTCTATTTGTAGCCCTAAGTTTTTGAATTTATAGCCCTAAACTTACATACATGGACAAGTTTACCCCTCATTTAACCTAAACCCTAAATTGACCCACCCGTCCCTTACCCGATTTTCCCCCAAAACAGAATCTGCCGCCACCCAGACCCTGCCGTCCCTTACCCCTCACCCAGAGCTCCGCCACCCTCACCCCTCACCCAGAGCTCCAGCGCCATCCAGGAGGAGAGGAAGTCGCCGCCGAAGCTCCTCCTTTCTCAATTGAGAAGAACTCATTCGTTTATCTCTGCCCCGTCACTCTCCTCTTCGTTTCCCAGGTCATCGACTTCGCTTCGGGTTAGCACCAAGAGGAAGTCGCCGCCACCCTCACCCAGACTCGCCTCCACCACCAAGACCCGTCGCCGCCACCCAGACCCGTCGCCGCCAGCATCTTCGCCCAAGCCCAGATCCGCCGCACTGTGCCGAGGAGGAAGGAGAAGCTCGACTTGTTAATCGTCCGCCTCTAGCCCTCTGCTTCTGCTCAAACCCGCCAGAGGTAAATCTCTCTCTCCCTCTCTTCTCGTTTGGTTGAGTTGCGCCGACGTCGCGGGTTGAAAACCCGTCGCTAGTGGGTAGAGGCAGGTAGGGCGTCGATTTGGGTCGGGGTAGACGCAGGCAGGGCACCCGCGCGGATCCGGCGGAGCCAGGTAGCCCACCTGCCCCGACCCTGGTCCGATCCGGTCACTGACCCGCCCTGCCATGGTGCACTTTGGATTTGCGGTATTATCTCGGTGCAGTGGTACAGGATGGTCAGGTTGGGGAAGGATTCGTGGCTTTTTTCAATGGTTTCTGTTGGTGGTAATTTTGTAGTTGGCTTTTGGGTTGGCTGCCTGCTCGTTGGTTGATTTTGCACCCTTTTCACGCTTAGATCCCTAATGAGAGATGATATCGTGCCTTCGTTATATCTGTTGTCACGAATTGAGGGTTCATAATAAAAGTGTCACAAAGAGACATCCAATCCTCCCGCCTTGTCTGTGACGAACGCAACCGGGGTTCGATCACCAAGCACAATCTTCAATTGCATCAAAACCCAAGCATATGTCTCCTTCGTCTCATCTGAAATCAATGCGAACCCAATGTTGAAGTTCTTCTTCACCGGACTAACACCAATCAACTGAACCAGTGGCTGCTTATACTTGTTAGTCTTGTACGTCGAGTCTATCAAAACAACAAAATACCATGCCAACAACATCCGAATCGACTCAGGATGGCATAGGAAGAGTCTAGTAACACGACGTTGATCATCAAATTCACACTCAATAAAGTAGCCAAGACGTTGAGCTTCTATCAATGTCCACCGCATAGGTTTCAACCCACCCAATCTCTCACGCCTAATTTTTGCGGTCTCATTATAAATCTGAGTCATGTTGCGATGAGCATCGTACTTCATATTGAGCAAACTTCTGATATCTTTCGCCTGAGTATGTGTTGCCTCCAACTCCTTAATATTCATTTTTTCCACCTGCGAAAGAGCATTCTTTTGCCTGCTTCCCTCAGAGTAAACCCCTAATCTGTGACTGTGAAATCCCCTCGACTTAATCCCATGAATTCTCCACTTACACTTGCCATCTATTTTTACGGATTGCACCACCACTCGGAAACGACAACCTAACTTGCCTGTTGTAGATTTGCTCCGTGTTGTCTTTGCGGGATCAGACGTATATGAGTTGCTCCTACTACCATGGTTGCAATCCATATAGATCCGCGGATTGCCTTCTCCAAGGTTTCTCTTGACTGATGCCACTATCAAGGAAAAACTATTACTCATGGCAATCTCCTTTGCCGCTTTACAAGCTTGATCATGGGTATCATAAACATCACTTAGAAACAATGATGTGCAATCAACATTGTCACCCTCATTAACTCCAGATCCACCCTACAAGAAATACAAGGTAAAAACATTTAGTTGTGCAACAATTATGTTACGATAATTAAATTATAAAAAATAACTACTTACCGAATCATCCATAATAGTTTCCTTGTTAGTAAATGATGGTGGCACAAGATTTTTATCCTCCTTCCTAATAAACACAATTAACAACGAAACTTAATGATCATAAATATTATAATTTATGTGAATTTTCATTAAAAAAGGTCTATGACATCACAAAGTTAACTCGAGCATGTTCAAAACTAGACCAGACCGAGGGACGGGCATGTTAAAAACAAGAAAGAACCATGGGTCGAGCATGTTGAAAACATGCTTAGACAGGAGGACGAGCATGTTGCGAGCATTCCTGGAGGATGGAACGGGCAGGTGGACAACCCGTCCGTTCCATGGCTGATGCAGGGTTTCAACATGCTTGACCACCGGTCGAGGCAGATTTTCGACATGCTCGACTTGTTTTCCAGAAGAAAAAAAAATTTGCAAATGAGATCTTACCTTTAGTCTGAGTCCCTGCATGCTATGACGATCGAGACCGACTACTTTTCTACCTCCGGCAAACTCGCCGCAATCCGGCAAAAATTTATCAATGTAGAAGATTGTAGTTGGATTTTGTGTTGTGTGGTTTGGTTTTAATTTTAGGTTTGACATTTCTGTTTTGTGTTGGAAGAAAGAGTTAAATGGGTTGGGTTAGGTGGTTGGAGCATTAATTCTAGGTGGTTGAACCATAAAACTAAATGAAGGGTTGTTTTGTAAATTTGTATGGTTTAGGGCGACAAAATTTAAAAATTTAGGGCGACGAATAGTAACACTCTTTTAAAGTAGCATCCCTCATTCTTATTTTTTTCATTTCCAAACATTGCCCTCAAGTATCTATCCCAATTCATCTCAACGTCGACTTCTCCCTTCCATCACCAAAAGTGCATCCATCTCTCACTTGGTCGAATTTCCCTCCTCTCCCACTTCGTTTGTTGCTAGAGATTTGGGTTTCAAACGAAAGGTTGATTTCCGATTGTGGGTTTCGAAGAGAGTTTCGATTCTGGGACTAGGTTGCGTCGATTGAGCGCCAATCCAGCAGCTTCCCGACTTCGTGTTTGAAAAGAGTCTCGATTGAGCGTGAATTCTCCATGGTGAGCATTATGTTTCGTAGCTACCGGCAATGAGCGATCGATCCCCTGAGATGGCTCGATTCAGCGCCGTCCTCCATCAGCGGCGGATTCCCTAAAATGGCCGCCATGGATGTAATGACCAACAACAACGAGAAGCACCACAATCCAAAAGAAGTAGAGACCCACCAAATATCTTCTATGAATCCGATCTCTCAGATCCCTTCTCCTCGCTCTCCCTATACTTCTTTATTTCCTCTTTCTCATTGAATTTTTTGGGTATCATTATTCGTTTGGTATTCTGGGTTTCATTGTTCGTTTGGTATTTGTTATTATTTGGGTGTTCTGGGATTCATTAGATTATGGATTGCTAGTAGTAACAATATCTTTGTGCTTCGTTTTTGTGGAAATTGGCAACATCTATTCTTTCTTTGTTTTATCTCCGCCCAATATGGGTTTCAATCGCCCATTTTTTATTCAATTAATTTTGGTTTTGATATGATTACGAGGGACTGAAACAATGGCCAAGGACAAAAATTGACAAATGAAGAACGGGGGAAAGAAAACGAAGGATAGAAGATGAGGACAATAATGTAATTTGGATATTAATGTTAAAATTCTGCGTATCAATCTAAATGAGTTATTTCAGTTAAATCCTGCATATAGAATTCCTTGTAATTTAAACTAGAGATTTTATTAAAAATCCCTCATTATTAAAATCTCTAATCCAAACGACCCCTTAATTTTTCCACCTTAATTTTTAACGGACGGTTTCACAATCGCTTTAAGTTGGAATTTAATTTTTTTGCACACTTAGTTAAGATTAATCGTGCTTTTCAAAATGATATCCACTTTGACATATTTTTGGAACAAAAACATTTGAGTCATTTTTTACCCGTATATACCATATGGTATTTGACTGTTATTAAATAAGAACATACCATATGGTATGAAAAAACTTAGCATGGTGATATGAACATACCAAGACTGTAGGACGATTGGATACATGACAGTAGGTATATACTAATTGTCATTTATGACTTTGAAGATTTTGTACCACAAGATATCACCCCATACCAGGGTGGTATTGTGTGGTATTTTTTTTGTCCTATATTTTGTTCACCCAGAAATTTGTGATCCAATAGATCATGATGAACTTGTTCATTCTGTGCAAAAGTTTTAAAAAATAACTTAAAAACGAAGAAGATATCATATGGTATGCAGTTGGTAATGAGAGGCAATAATTTTTTTAAAGAAAATATTGAAA